CGTGCGGGCGCCTCCGCGCCGCCTGGGGAGGGGGCAGTGCCCTCCGAGCCAGGTGAGGCGGGCAGGAAATCCTGGATCTGGTTAATGATTCTCCTTGTTCCGGGAGTGCGGGCGTGGCAAGAGTAGGCTGGTGAAGTGGGGGAGGATGCGTGCTCCGGAGGGCCGCCACCCTAGGAATGTGTGGCCGGCGGGTGGGGCTGCACAGGAGGGTTGGGCCCATGCGGAGGGGTCGCAGCCCAGCCGTTTCTAGGGCAGGCCAGGAGAAGGAAGAGAGGAGGACCAGGCTTCGATAGGGGTAGGTAGGTCCTGACCCTGTGGCCTGCACCCTCCCCACAGAACAGGGATGTTGTTGGGGCTGGCGGCCATGGAGCTGAAGGTGTGGGTGGATGGCATCCAGCGTGTGGTCTGTGGGGTCTCGGAGCAGACCACCTGCCAGGAAGTGGTCATCGCACTGGCCCAAGCAATAGGTGAGTCCTCTTGGGGTTAGGCAGGCTGGGCAGGTAGAGGTGAAGTGGGACCTGGTGGTCCGGCCCCATGGTCCCCCGGAAGGAGAGTGGTCTAGCCCCGTGGCCACCCCCACCCCCGGAGGAGAGTGGTCCAGCCCCGTGGCATCCCCCGGAGGAGAGTGGGACTGGTTGCTGATCCTTATGGTCCTCCCCAATTCCTTAAGCCAGGTGGACAGAGAGTCGGGGGGACATAGGCTGATCTTCTCCTCTCTCCGCCAGGCCAGACTGGCCGCTTTGTGCTTGTGCAGCGCCTTAGGGAGAAGGAGCGGCAGCTGCTGCCAGAGGAGTGTCCAGTGGGCGCCCAGGCCACCTGCGGACAGTTCGCCAGTGATGTCCAGTTTGTCCTGAGGCGCACAGGGCCCAGCCTGGTTGGGAGGCCCTCCTCAGACAACTGTCTACCCCCAGAACGCTGCCCAATTCGTGCCAGCCTCCCTGCAAAGCCACGGGGAGCGCTGGGCTGTGAGCCCCGCAAAACACTGACCCCCGGGCCAGCCCCCAGCCTCTCACACCCTGGGCCTGCGGCCCCTGTGACACCCACACCAGGTTGCTGCACAGACCTGCGGGGCCTGGAGCTCAGGGTGCAGAGGAACGCTGAGGAGCTGGGCCACGAGGCCTTCTGGGAACAGGAACTGCGTCGGGAGCAAGCCCGGGAGCGAGAGGGACAGGCACGCCTGCAGGCGCTAAGTGCGGCCACTGCTGAGCATGCCGCCCGGCTGCAGGCCCTGGATGCTCAGGCCCGTGCCCTGGAGGCTGAGCTGCAGCTGGCAGCGGAGGCCCCTGGGCCCCCCTCACCTATGGCATCTGCCACTGAGCGCCTGCGCCAGGACCTGGCTGTTCAGGAGCGGCAGAGTGCGGAGGTGCAGGGCAGCCTGGCTCTGGTGAGCCGGGCCCTGGAGGCTGCAGAGCGAGCCCTGCAGGTGAGCCTGGGAACCTGTTCCTCTGTCACTTCCCCACCCCTTACACCGGCAGATTCGGGGGTCACAGGGTCTGACTTGGGGGACAGGTGAGCCTGGGGACCTGATCCCCTGTCACTCCCCTACCCCTGATACGGGCAAATATAGGGGTCACAGGGTCCGACTGGGGAGGCAGGTGAACCTGTGGACCCGATCCCTGTCACTCCCCCATCCTTGACACAGGCAGACATGGGGGTCACAGGGTCCTACTCGGGAGGCAGGTGAGCCTGGGGACCTGATCCCCTGTCATTCCCCCACCCCGACACCGGCAGATATGGGGGTCACAGGGTCCGACTCAGGAGAGCACTCCCTCTGGGGCCTGAGCATGGAGCCCTGTGGCTATACCTCCTGAGGGTCCCATGTGTCCCCAGGCTCAGGCTCAGGAGCTGGAGGAGCTGAACCGGGAACTCCGTCAGTGCAACCTGCAACAGTTCATCCAGCAGACCGGGGCTGCGCTGCCACCGCCCCCACGGCCTGACAGGGGCCCTCCTGGCACTCAGGTCGGAGTGGTTCTTGGGGGAGGCTGGGAGGTGAGGACCTGGCCCAGCCCCACTCCAAGCTGACTTCCCAACCCACAGGGCCCTCTGCCTTCAGCCAGAGAGGAGTCCCTCCTGGGCACCCCCCCGAGTCCCATGCTGGTGCCCAGCCTAGGCCCCGAGGGTATGTCTGTGCTCCACCTCCCCCTGGGGCACTGGGCCCTCCTGTGGCCGCAGCCTCCTCAGCCTGTGTCCTCCCGCAGCGGCCCCCATGAAGCAGAACTGGAGGTAGCAGCAGCTCCTGCCCCAGAGTGGTGTCCTCTGGCCGCCCAACCCCAGCCTCTGTGACAGCCTAGTGAGGGCTTCGAGACCAGCCTGCCCAGACCACAGAAGGAGAGTTGGCGGTCACAGAGGGCTCCTCCCCCACACAGTGGGAAGCCCTGGGTTTGGCCTCAGGAGCTGGGGTACAGGGGGGGACTGCCCTAGTCCTTGCCGGTCTGCCAGCACCCTGGAAAAGCACGGGGCATAGCCAGCTCAGAACCTGCCAGGCCCCAAAGGCCACGACTGCCTGTTGGGGACAGGAGATGCATGGACAGTGTGCTCAAGCTGTAAGCATGTGCTTGCCTATGGGAGGGGTCCTTCACTGTGTGTACACGGCAAAAGCACGTGTGTGCCACTTCCCCTACCCCAACGTGAAAACCTCAATAAACTGCCGGAAGCGGCTTGATTGTGTGCCGAAGCTGCGCCGGGCAGGGTCTGAGGTCTTGAACTTGAGCCTCCACGGGGTGCCACTGAGCAGTATCTTGAGACACCTGGGGCACGCCACAGCTGGAGTGTCTGAGAATTGGGTCCCTCAGGCACCAGTGCTCAGTAGGGCCCAGGGCTGGGGCTTCCTGGGCTCCACATTCCACCTGCTCTGCCTCACCTAACCCCAGGGGCTCTCCTGTGAGGCCTCAGCCTGGTGGGCCTGCTGGTTCAGCCCAGCCTGACTGTCCTGGGCTTGTATGCACCCCCTCCCACCTGACTTCCGTCATCCTGTTGCCTGGGCCCCACCAGCAGCAGGAACTGAGGACACCAGGACAAGCTAGACCCGCCTGTCAGGTTTACTGAGAACTTGTGGGGGCGGGTCCCAGACTCAGGTCAGCCAGGCCACTTCACCACCCCAGGGAGGGCATGGGTACTAGTGGGCAGGGGCTCCCCCCTCCTCCCCAGGTGGGTGTGAAATGTCTGCTATGAGCTTGAAGCTTTGAAATTGGGGCAGGGGCCGGGCACGGTGGCCCACACCTATAATCCCAGCACTTTGGGAAGCTGAAGGGGGTGGATCACCTGAGATCAGGAGTTAGAGACCAGCCTGGCCAACGTGATGAAACCTCATCTCTACTAAAAATACAAAAAATTGGCCAGGCGCGGTGGCTCACACCTGTAATCCCAGCACTTTGGGAGGCTGAGGTGGATGGATTACGAGGTTAGGAGATCGAAACCATCCTAACATGGTGAAACCCTGTCTCTACTAAAAATACAAAAAATTAACTGGGCATGATGGTGGACACCTGTAGTCCCAGCTACTCGGGAGGCTGAGGCAGGAGAATGGCACGAACCCGGGGTGTGGAGGTTGCGGTGAGCCGAGATCGCGCCACTGCACTCCAGCCTGGGTGACAGAGCAAGACTCTGTCTCCAAAATAAAAAAAAAAAAAATCGTGTCCACATCCCAGCCCAGCCCCTGCCTGGGCCCTTGGGCTAGCTGTCACCTCTTCTGGTCCTCAGGGTAAGCCATACACCCCCAACTCCAGGGGCCATGGTTAGAGTTAGAGAAGAATGTGGGGGACCCCTACACCTGGGTACAGCCATGGGTGGGATTGGGACAGAGGATGGGGATGCCCTAGGTCAGGGGTGTCCAATCTTTTGGCTTCCCTGGGCCACACTGGAAGAATTGTCTTGGGCCATACATGGAATACACTAATAGCTGATGAGCTTAAAGAAAAAATCGTAAAAAAAATATTGCAATGTTGGCCAGGCACAGTGGCTCATGCCTGTAATCCCAGCACTTTGGGAGGCCGAGGTGGGTGGATCACGAGGTCAGGAGATCGAGACCATCCTGGCTAACAAGGTGAAACCCTGTCTCTACTAAAAATACAAAAAATTAGCTGGACGTGGTGGTAGGTACCTGTAGTCCCAGCTACTCAGGAGGCTGAGGCAGGAGAGTGGCGTGAACCCAGGAGGCAGAGCTTGCAGTGAACCCAAACTGGACCTCTGCACTCCAGCCTGGGTGACAGATGGAGACTCAGTCTCAAAAAAAAAAAAAAAACCTCACAATGTTTAAGAAAGTTTAGATTTGCGTTGGGCTGCATTCAAAGCCACTCCATGGGCCGACAGTTGGACAAGCTTGCCCTAGATCATGGGGTCTTTGTGCTCTGAGAGTGGGCGAGTTTGGGATGGACTCAGCTTTCTCTTGGGTGGCCCTGGATCTGGGTCTGGTGCTGCCCCCTTTCTCTGGAGCAGACAAAGGGAACGAGGAAGTCCTGAACTTGGGCAGGGAAGCCATCCACAGGGCTTCCTAGAGGCCAGGACCACCAGGAGCTCACTGCTGTGCAGGTGCAACTCAGCTTGGTTATTTCCTGCCTGAGGCAGGGAACAGGGAATGCAGGGAGGCCAGGCAGCAGCGGAAGCCTCCAAACGCTGGCGTCAGCAAGCCGGAACCCCCACCTGACCTCACTCCTGTCTGCCCGGCTCACAGTCGCCTGTCCCTGGGAGGTCCTTGGGGGCCTGGACCTGCCTGACCTGTGGCCCCAGATGGAGCTAAGCCCAGGGGCACAAGGGGTGGAGCCTGGAATGCATAAGCCAAGTGAGTTGTGCCTGGGCAGCAGGCCTGGGGTCTGAGGGGCCTACTCCTCCATCCACAGCCCCCACTGACATTCTGGAGGGATGGTTGTACCTCTGTGACCAGCCCTCCACACCGTCACACAGGCCAGCAGGGGGCAATACCAGGTGCCATCCGGAGCCCACCCCCATGTCCTCCCGGGGGTCATGAGCTCTGCCCCACATGCCCCAGCCCCCCAATGGGAAGCAGGCATGGAGCTGGCAGAGCACGCAATGCGCTGTTCCTTTGTGTTTTTGAGGAACACCTGTTCCTTTTGAGGCCACTGCCTAGGTGCCCGTCCCTGGTCTGCTGCTGCTAGCTCTGATGAAGCTAACCGGCCTTCTTCCCCACCAAGAGGGTGTCCCAGCAGCCGCTGTGTTCCGGGGTGGGGAAGGCAGGGAGCCTTCCTCCTCACTGGCTGTTTCATTTTATATTTTTTGAGACAGAGTCTCTCTTGCCACTCAGACTGGAGTGCAGTGGCGCAATCTTGTCTCGCTGCAATCTTCACCTCCCAGGTTCAAGTGATTCTCTTGCCTCAGCCTTCCAAGTAGCTGGGATTACAGGTGCCCACCACCATGCCCAGCTAATTTTTGTATTTTTAGTAGAGACGGGGTTTCGCCACGTTGCCCAGGCTGGTCTTGAACTCCTGATCTCAAGTGATCAATCACCTGCCTCCGCCTCCTGAAGCACTGGGATTACGGGCGTGAGCCACCGCGCCCGGCGTCTCACTGGCTGTTTCAGGTGAACCAAATCCCATGGCCCCAAAAAGTTGCCAGAATGCTTCAGATCACTCAGCAAACCTTTGAGTTGCTGAAAAGTTTACTTTTGAGTTTTAAACTATACTTTGAAAACTATATTGTGAACTGTGCTGACGTCAGGAAAGGCTGGGCTCCCTAAAATCATACAGTTCCACAGCAGGGCGGACCCAAGCCCAGTCAATCCCCAGGCGATGCAGGGCAGAGATCCCACCTGGTATAAGTATGGGCAGAGGGCAGAGCCAGGCTGTATCGAGTGGCAGTGCTGGCGCCCTTCTCGCCCAGAGTTCCTACTCATCCCCAGCACAGAAGTGCTCTGTAGGGCCAGCTGAGGACACCCCGGTTCACTGAGCGTGGCCCACAGTAAGTCACCGTCTGGCAGTAAGTCAGCTCTGCAGGTGTGGACCCCAAGGCCACACACAGCCTTTCCCAGGTGCAGGTCCTGCCAAGCCTCGGTACGCAGTGGTGACAGGCAACCCCGTCAGGACAGGGAGCTTCTAAAGACCAGTTCGAGTCCATGCCAGGTGTCCACTAAATCTGCCTCTCCCTCTCCAGCGAGCGGGTGCAGCCCTCAACTCCTGCAGACCTGGGGAGGGGGGACAGGGCCTGTAGGCTCGGACTCGCCCTGGTCCTGATTTTCACAGTGGACTTCAGAAGGCAGGCTCAGCAGACAGGCCGCTGGAGGGTCCATGCGCCGATTCCTGCAGTGGCCCCACTGAAGCAGCAGAAACACGCAGAAGCACCAAATCCGTCACTCTCTTCCAGGAGGAAGTCCCCAGAGGTGGCCCTCAGGAGGATGGTCCTGTTGGTTTAAGATATGACCACAACACCTGTGCCTGCCCAGGGCCACCTTCGGCTTGGCAACAGGAACTCCGCACACCGGTACTCTGGACACACAAGGAAAACAAAGTTCCCTCCAAGAGGGTATCTGGCCCAGCCTCAGCCCCAGTAAGCGGAGGGCAGCAAAGCCCCCGAATGATTCCGCTTCCCCCCACCCGCCGTCCCTGGTGGCCAGACAGGCACACCCCGTCCACAGGGCACCCCCTCCCCACAGTGTCCAGCTGCCCTCGCGTCCCCGTGTGGCCGGTCGCCTGCCCGCCAGACCCGGGTC